CCCCCCCCGCACAGGTCCAGTACCTGGACTCGGGATTCGGGCAGGTTGATCTTCAGGGCCACTTCCTCCCGCATGAAGATGTCAGGGTAGCGGGTCTTGGCGAAGAGTGCCTCCAGCACATCCAGCTGCGAGCGCGTGAAGGTGGTGCGCTCCCGCCTCTGCTTCCGTGGGGTGGCTGGGGGCAAGCACCGCCACGCCAGTCACGCAGGGTCCCCCCGCACCTCCCGCAACCCCCCGGCACCCCTGGTGCAGGAGCCTGAGAAGCATCCCCTCCCCAGCCCCAAAGAGCAGCAGTGCTCCCCGCTCGCCCCAGCCCCACAGCAGTCGGGCACTGCCCACCCGGGCCGGACCCTGTCCCGCTGCAGGCAGGGGGAGCGGCACGGGGCTGGGGAAGGGTCTGGCCCAGCCCCAGTGGGATGAATGGAGAGATTTCGTTGAGTCGAAATAAATCTACTTTTTTTTTTTTTTTTTTAAAAAGCTTTTTTATCCTTAAAAATCCCCGCGAGAACGAAGAAGCCCCGGGGATGGGGGGAAATTCAGCTGGGGCCGGCGCTGTCCCCCCCACCCCGCTCTCCCCAGCCAGGGGTGTGGGCAAATGGGGGGACCCACCCCATAGCCCACCCCAAACAGCACGGCCCCACGGGTTCCTCCAAACCCAGCCGGGACGGAGCTTTTTCCCCTCCGCTTGCTCCCGGGCAGGCGCCTGCCAGTGCTTGGGTGGGTGACGGCAGGGATGGGGAGGGGGCCACGGCGCGGGGCACTCACCCGGGGACCCCACGGAGGGATGCAGCAGGTCCATGGCGGGGCCCGTCAGCCCCAGCCCGTTCATGCCGTAAGGGGGCTGTTTAAGGTAAGACATCATGCTAGAAGCTGGGCAGGTTTCCTCCAAAGTCCCACAGAAAAAAAACAAATCAAATCAAATCAAATGTATGGGGTGGGAAGGGGGGAAAAGGAGGAAAAAAAAAAAAAGCCTCAATAAAAAGAACCCCCCAAAAAACCCCAAACAGGAGGCAAAAAAATTAGAAGCCAACAACAATTAAAAAACAGAGCACAAAATCAGCGTAAAAGGAGTTTTTTTCGTTCCGTCTCGCCGTCACCGCCGCGAGGTCCTCAAGCGATCGCAGGCAAAGGGAGGCAAAAGAAAAAAAAAAAAAAAGAAAAGAAAAGAAAAAAATTAAAACGGCAACGAGGATCGGGAAACAAAAAGGCGGATTTCTTCCCCGCGCAGAGGCGAGGCCGGAGCGCCTGGGGAGAGAGCGGAGAGAGGCGGGTTAGGGGTCCGGCCGCCCCGAGTCCTGCCGAGGGGCGCCCGGGGGGCTGGGCGGCCGCGGGGCTGCGGGCACCCCGGCGCGGGGGCACCGGGCAGGCGGCCTTTAACTGTACGTTTTATTATTATTGTTTTATTTTAAACGAAGGCGAGTTGCGTGCAAGTGCCGAGAGGCAACAGTGCCCGGCGATGGGGAGAGATAAAGCAATTATTTAAAAAGATAATTGGATTAGGAATCAAAAGGAGGTACCAGAGGAGGGAAGGATAATTAATGTAAAAGCGAGCAGACGGGGACGTTTTAATTAGAAATGGATAAGAGTTAAAAAAGGGGAAAGGAAAAGGGAGAGCGCGGGCACCCGGCGCCGGCAGCCCGGGCCGGGGCCGGGGCCGGGCTCCGGCAGAGCCG